GTGGCACTCCGGTTTCCCGTACAAATGTTCGGGACAGAACATTGCTCACTCTAACAAAGAATGTACGATCAGACAGCTTTCAATGACACTGAACATATTGCCGTGTATACCTATGTGTAAGAGGTCTCTCAATATTCCAAACCTCCACGTAGTATCGTAGGCCTTCTCCATGTCAAGGAACACAGATAAGAAAAACTGATTATGAACAAAAGCCCCACGTATGTGTGCCTTGATATGTGTAAGATGGTCGGTGGTAGATCAGCCCTCTCTAAACCCGCACTGGTATGGGTCGAGCAATTTGTTTGTTTCTAAGTAGTGGAGTCAGCGGCAATTACTCATTTTTTCAAATAGTTTGCAGAGGCAGCTTGTTAACGCTATAGGTCTGTAACTTGATACAGTAGAGGAATCCTTCCCCTGCTTCAAAACTGGAATTATAACAGCCTGCTTCCAGGAGGAGGAGATCACAATTGAAAACCATATGCGATTAAAAAGAGAGAGGAGGGTTTTTTTAGTTTCGGAGGGTAGTTCCTTCAGCATCGCATACGTTACGTTGTCAGAACCTGGGGTAGATGTATTACAGCAGCTGAGTGCTCTTCGCAGTTCTGCGAAGCAGAATGGTTCATTATATGCCTCATTTCTTGCGGATTTTCTTTCTAACTTTTGTTTTTCTATTCGCGCTTGTAATTCTGGAAGGTTTCGGAATAGTGTGAGGAGCTCGATATGTGTTCGAAATGTGTGCCAAGAAAGTTGGCTTGATCCTCCAAGCTTCCTCGAGGCTATTCACTAGTGGCAGGGAATACGTTTATTGGCCCTTAATTTTCTTTACCTTATTCCACACTTTTCCCTCATCTGTGTATGAGTTGATACTCGATATAAACTTTGTCCAGCTCTCTCGTCTAGCTTGTCCACGCGTTCTCTTTGCCTGCGATTTGACCTGCTTGAAATTTTCAAGGTTTTCTGCTGTTGGGGAATCTCGAAGCAACGCCTGTGCTTTGTTCTGAGTGGTCTGTGCTTTCCTGCATGCGTCGTTCCACCATAGGATTCGCCGTTTAGAAGACATGCCGCTTGTTTTGGCAATACATTTAGATGCGGCATCAAGTATAAAAGCTGTAAAATACGTGACAGCGTCATCTATGGTCAGGGCAGACAGCTCAGTCCATGTCATGTGTGTAAGAGTTCTATACCCTTCCCAATCAGCTGAGTCAATCTTCCATCGAGGAACCTGCGGGGGTAGTTGATCTTTGTTCGGCGCACTCAGGATGATTGGGAAGTGGTCACTCCCATAAGGGTTTTTAAGAACGTTCCACTTAGAAAATGGTAAAAGGGACGGTGATGGAATACTAAGATCTATGGAGGAGTACGTGTTGTTTGCAAGGCTAAAATACGTAGGCTCCTTTATATTTGAAAGACATAAACTAGAAGAGAAAAGGAGCTGTTCAATGAGACGTCCTCACGCATCACAGTGAGCATCGCCCCACAGAACATTGTGTGCCTTAAAATAACCTAGAATCAGAAATGACTCTGGGAGTTCATCTATTAATGATTCTAGATCACGTCTGTGTAGCTGTTGATGCGGTGGTATGTACACAGAGCATATGGTAATGAGTTTAATGAAAAGTACAGCTCGAATGGCCACTGCCTCAAGGGCTGTTTGGAGCTTCAAATGCTGGCATGCTATACTTCGATCAGCTATAATGGCCACACCGCCAGATGGTATGACAGCATCCTCTCGTTCTTTTCGGAAAATAATATATAGCCGTAGGAAGTCCTTGTGTTTGGGAGTTGAACGTGTTTCTTGCACACATAGCACTTTCGCGTTAAACTTACTCAGAAGTTCTTGGTCATCATCTAAATTTTTAAGTATTCCTCTTACGTTCCCCTGTACGATTTTGTCCATAGTGGAAAAAAAGAAAAAGCGCTGTGTGCAGAGAAGTCTGAGATTAGCTCATTTTACAGGGCCTTTGTCAGGCCCTGTAATCGGCGGTTTGTTCTTTTTGGGGCGGTCGAGAGAAGCTCGCCGCTCCTTCGGCGCTTCCAGCGCCGTTTGGCTTGAACTGGTGTCCATAGCCTCTTGCGAGGCACTGGACCATAGCCTCTTACGAGGCTCTACAGAGCGATCTGCGCATTGCTTACACTTCCCCTCGATCGACAAAGTCTTTGTCCCCACCGAGCTGGAGGTTGATGAGGCACCCTTGGCCTCGTGATTGCCCTGGCTGCTGCCAGAGCTTGTAGATGTCACTGGTGTGGACAGGCTGAATGTGGGCAGGGCAGCGCTGGCTGCTCCCGCCGTAGGGGCTTGTGGCGTTGGCCTCGGCACGCTAGGCGTGGTCCGGGCTACTGCCAAAGGCCTTTGTAGTGCCGCCCCTCTTTGCACTATTCAGCGAAACGTGTTTTTAGTGCCAATGATGACGAGATCCGTCGTCCTGCTTCCCTGAATGTGATATTTTCCTTAACTTTTATAGTTATTATTTCGTTTTCTTTTTTCCAGGCTGAGCACGCTCTGCAGTATGCGGGGTGACTACCTTCGCAGTTAGCACAGAGGATCTCGTCATGACTACATTCATCAGCACTGTGGCCGGTTGTGCCACACTTAGCACATATCAGCTGCCCTCGGCAGCTCTGGGATGCATGACCAAATCGCTGGCATTTGAAACAATGCCTCAGGTTCGGAATGAAGGGTCGGGCATGGAGTTTTAAAGAGCCAGCTTCGAGAGTCTCAGGTAAAGTGGTTGAGCTGAAGATGAGTATCAAGTGCTTTGTCGCTATTTCGTTGTTGTTACGTCTGATTTTGATGCGCTGGACATGTATTACACCTTGGTCCTTCCATCCATCAAGGAGCTCTTCTTCACTCAGTGTCATCAAATCTTCGTCCAATACCACGCCCTTCACTGTATTCATGGTACGGTGTGCGCTCACAGAGACAGGGATGTTACCAAAGGCTACAAGGTGCGAGAGTTTATTGTACTGTTCCTTGTCTTTTAATTCGAGAAGCAAATCTCCACTTGCCATCTTCGTGGCCTTATAACCGGTTCCAATAGTCTCTGCCAAGCACTTGGCCACAAGGAAGGGTGAGATTGCTCTAGCTTTTATAGATGATTGTTCGCAGTGGAGGACATGGTATTTTGGGAAAGTTTATCTGTTTTTGGGCCAAAGTAGTGAAGTTGCGTCGGTGCGTACCCTTTTCGAGGCACGATCAGTTAGAGAGGGAGTCGAGGATCCCATGAGAAAATGTGGATTTTTCGGTAACGGCGCCTACCACCCACCACAGAGTCCAACAAGAGGACGTGGCAGAGCATGTAGACATGTCTGCGCAACGCCAGCAGTACGCAGTTACTATAACTTAATATGGTTTACCCTCGTTTGGATAGCCACACAAGGTAAACCCTTGCCGCCAGGAAAAACAGAAATAAATTGAAGAGAGGAGAGAACAGGAAAGATTGAAAGTGAGAGGAAAAGACGAAGATGAAGAGAGGGAGAGACAGGAAAAGGCGACTGACGGTTTCCCCTGGGTGGGTCAGCCCAGGGGTGCCGTCTACGTGAAGCCGGGGCCAAAGGGGTGTGTTGCCGCCGCTGGGGGGCCTTAAAGGTCCAATCACCCAGCATTGGCTCCACCCCCAGGATCCCCTTTTGACACAATTCAGCTACACACGGTTAAGCGTGGGAGGGAGTCAAAACTCCCCTGTTAGCTCGGGTCCGTGGTGTCGCTACACACCAAATGCCTACTTGCGCAGGCGCCCCTGTGGGAGGTCATACATAGGCATGAATGTCGCCTTGGAGCAGGTTGACTAAGTGCTCACTAAGCTGGAAGAGATTGGAACTAACGTGGAAGCAGAATTCCACAAAATGATTTCTCTCTGTGAAAAAAGAGAGGCAAATTTCGGAGTGAAGTATGAGATTCCACGGCTGCTCATTTCCATGGCATGCTGATTTGATGTAAAGGACCTTAACTATTCCTTGCCTCATAGTCAACTTATGCTGTGTATTCAAGAGCATATAGATAAGCATGGTGCAACCGCATTTCAGAACGACACAGGGTTGTCAGTTCGAAGTTTTTCAGAGCTTTTAACTATGTACCTGAATGAACGCGGCAAAAGAAAAATGACGGCTATGACGTCACCATAACTTATTTTGTTGACTGCCGCGTGGTGACGTGAGGGAGGTAGGGGGTCCCCAAAGGGTCCCCTTTGGGGGTGTCAAATGGCACGATCGAGTCGAGGGCTCATGCAAACTTTGAAATTCCTTTAAAATACCTTCTCAGCTATATTCACTGTTGATATTTTGCAGATGATATATGAATGTTTCTGAGAATCGACGCCAGAGGCTATTCGGTCGTGATATTTTGTGCCTGTGCATTTGAGCAATAGCAGCTTCTTGAATAGGTTGTCATTGAGATGTCAGTTCATGCTTAATGAAAAGATTGCGAAGTGACTTGCTCCCCAAAAAAGATAGGGGTGCGGCAGCTGTCTCAAGATGGCAGAGCATGACTACCTTAGCACTTCTGCCGTTACAGTGCGACCACGCGGTTGGTCATTCTGTGCATGCAGACAACCCTTCACCGCCTCCCACTGTGAGCAGCAGAGTGTCTTGGCCTGGTATAGCACAAATATTTCTCTCTCCCCCTTAGAAACAGGTCAGCTCATTTCAGATAAAAAGTACCCGTGTCTTGTGCAGTATTGCAATATAATCGATACACCCTAAATCTCGCTACTGAGGCACAGATACATTTTGCAAATGTATCTCAATAGAGAAACACAGATACTCCAAAGTATCCAAATATAGTACCGCGATACTGTCTAGTTTTGTATTGTAGTCAATATGGAGACGGGCACCATCCGAGTCAGCTTGCAGGAGAAAGGCGCATCCCAGTGAATAATTTCTGCTACTTGTCTTCCTAGCACTAGTGTGACTATACATGCATGTTATGCATGTATAGATGGCCATTGACAATTTATGGGTCAGAGTTTCACGAGCAGCACCCTCGCATGACAAATGCCACTTACTGATCCACAGCTTTCGGGTCCTCCATGGAAAAGGTTGCAGCACCAGCGTATCACCTCGGATTCCATCTTGCGCACGCCTACAAACACGTCTGAATGCAGTGGGTTCGAGCGAAGGTGTCGCTCGTAGACCGAAACCATGAGGCCCTCCAGCTTCGGGTCGTGCTCTGTATAGATGGCGCCGGACACCACCCCCTTCTTCCACTCGACGTGAGAGAGCGAATCATTCTCTGCCATCCGTTCGAGTATGGTCTCCTGCACATGCAGCATCAATTTGTTCATAAACGTGAAAACTTCACTCACTTAATTGAGAGTAAAGAAAGATGAAGAACAAGTCTTCACAGCACACAGGAACAAAAAGCAAATCGAACACTTTTGACAACAATATCATAAATAATCATCAAAATAAAAACATCGACATCTTTATTATAGATAAAAAGCAACTTAAGAATCTTCTCATCCAGAATGACGGCGTTTAGTTTAGCTTCTTCTAATTGTCCGGCTAAAATACTATATGTAAAAGAAACATCCTATAATAGTGCTCGTGTGTAACATGGCATCCTATGATGTTTGCTTTCTTTGACATTTTTTTCGTTGCTTTTTTTTTACGAGTAAAACATGTAACATTTCACTCGTCAGTGTTTCCCTTGTGCATCAAAACTTGTGCTTTTCGCATACCCAGTGTTGTAAACGTCGTATAATCATTTTGTAATGCTTTGGTAGCCGTTTAGCAACGTGTGCATTGTTTCATGATTGACCGTACACTGTTTTCTTTTTTATTTGTTGTTTTTCTCTCTTTGTGATTTGCTTATTTTATGTAAACCTGAAACTGATGTAGTTTTGATGCATTTTCTAATTTCTTGAAGTTTTGAAAATCGACGCCAAATTGTTTTTTCATGTTTGTGCTCTGCGGATTTTGTAATGCCAAGTGAAAAGGGGTAGGAGCCTCGTCAAGCTGCTAACATAGCAGCTTTTTGCTCTTATTCTTGCGTTTTCTTTTTCGCAACTCTGTGAAGAAAATGCTCAATAAAACTGAAACTGAAACTGAAACGTAGATTATAAAGAAGGTGCCTTCAAGTTGCTTTAATACAGAGAAGAATGCAAAAGGTATACACTTTGCTGCTGCCAAGTGAATGATGCTGACCAGTAGATATTGAAAATTAAATGCTTAATAACATGAACTTGAATAACTAAAAAAACTGCACGACACAACTGCACTCGGCCTTAACCTTGGCACCTGCGGGGCACACCCTTCCCGCACCACTGCTGTCACTTTTAATGCCCATGAGTGCGTCATGCTCATCACTGGTGCACCGCACGTGTCATATTATTCGCGGGATGAGTGTGATTCTCACAACTTCAACTAATATGTTCCCTAGTGAACGTTTTCATTATGAATTGGTTATTAGGCATTCATAAAGATTGGTATAAGACCCAAGCATTCATCTTGATTTTAGCAGCGCGTTGGGAGACGAGGACTAAGAAGGAATGTGTTGTTCACATTCTTTCCTTTTTAGTCCTCTTCCCTCAGTACGCTGCTAAAATTAAGATGAAGAAAGATACGGTATTTTACCGATGTGAGCAAGAATTAAAAGCTGGCAAATTATTGATAGCGAATCAGCATTTAGACATAAAAAAAGTACAGGTTGTATGTACACTCCACTGCCACTAATATGCAAGAGATAGAACTCTCATGGAACCAGGGATGGATGCAGGCTTCAGTGTTTTGGAGCAGCTCAGGGAGCAAAAATAATGCTGCTTTGAAGCAGCTCTAGAGCAGTAAAACTGGAATTTCGGAGCAATGAATTTTGGAGTTTTGGAGCAGATTTCTAAGGTCAAACACCACTGTAAATAAAACTTTTGCTTTCTGATAAACACAAAAAGTTCCAGTGGTTTTTGCTAATACTCAATGCTGATAAAGCAACCAGACTTATCACAAATTGATAATATATATATACATCTGTTCAGTCATCGCTACCAGCGACGTATATTCCAGAATAATCTAAAATGCCCACGACGTGGGCATAATCTCAACAAAATAATCCACTACAGCCTCGGAGCTTCTCGAATATCGTCAGTACGGTTTGTGGTGAAGGTAGTGCAATGGGGCGATATCAAAGCTTGAGAAAGGAACATGGCATTGTCCCCCCTCTGAAAAACTTATCGTCCCAATGCTGTAATAGAAAATGAAAGTACAACAATAATGCAAGAAAGCACAAGCAATAAATTACGATACAGCAATATTACAACAAGAAAATACACTTTTTCAGTTCGTTTATGCACATAAAACGGCTTGAGGCGCGCAACACAGACGACTTCAGGTCGCAATCGGCGTCGTTGAGAGTTTGTGATGCCGTCGGAGACAACCTGATGATTTAGAAAATCGTTCGCGCAGAAACAACATTATCATATACGGTCTGGAGGAATCGGAAGATGAAAATAGCGATTCTTTAAAGGCCAGTCTGTCGAAGTTTTTTTCAGACATACTTAAAGCTGAAAGTACATATACGGTCTGTAAAGTTAAAGTACATATACGGTCTGGAGGAATCGGAAGATGAAAATGGCGATTCTTTAAAGGCCAGTCTGTCGAACTTTTTTTCAGACATACTTAAAGTTGTATTTCCGCAGATCGAACGATTCCACAGGATCGGTAGATACTTTGGTAGTAAACCTCGCCCGGTCATTCTTAAACTTCTTGACTTCCGCGAAAAGATTAAGGTGGTGAAGAATGGCTTTAAGCTGAAGGGTTCTAACATGCGTATAACGGAGGACTTCTCTGAACACATACGGATTATTCGCCAAAAACTATGGGATGCCACTGCATCCTTTAGGAATGACGGTTTCACTATGCAATTAAGGTACGATCATGTATATATAGATAATGCGCGGTATGACTGGGATAGTATTTCCAACTCATTAGTAAAATCCACCAAACAGTCTTCTAAACGCCCCACTCTTACGAAATGACCGAATCATGATAAGGTGTGTATTCTCAATATAAATGCCAGAAGTCTCACTAATAAATTTCCCGATTTTGTACACTTGCTTGCTACCTATTGTCCTCACATTATTAGCGTCACGGAAACCTGGCTTCATGGCGACATATATGATTTTGAAATTACTCCACCAGGGTTCAATGTTGATCGTACTGATCGACTGCATGGCCGAGGTGGCGGCGTTGCCATCTTCTTGAGGTCTGATTTAAGTTTTTCTGTATTAAAGTCACCTGCAGATATTGAAACAGTCTGGTGCAAGGTTCATATAGCGAACTCTCCTATAATTGTCGGTGTATTTTATCGTCCCCCCAGGTTCATCACTAGATCAGTTCACAGTACTCAGTAGTTTTATACAACAAAAAGGCTTTTCTTCAGGTAACCTAATTTGCATGGGAGACTTTAATGTGCCTGGCATTTCATGGCCATCGCTCTCCACTTTGGGCACCAATTCATCAATTTGTAGAAAGTGATTAATTTTTCACTAAACTTGGGTCTTAAACAAGTTGTCACTGATGCCACAAGGAACAATGTTATACTGGACTGCGTTTTTCTCAGTGCTTTACTGTATACAAGGGGGTTTACAGTTCAGGTCATTAATGGTATTTCTCATCATAAAGGTGTACTAATCTCTCTTAATTGCACAGTTCCGAAATGCCGCTATGAATATACAACTTTTCGTGATTATAGCCTGGCTGACGATGTGTCTATAATTGACACCTTAAGCAGCAAGTTTGACATTTTTAAAGAACTTAGCTATACTGGTAATGTCAACAGTTTGGTGTCTTATTTTGAAAACCTTGTTATAGAATGTATTGAAACACATGTACCACTAAAAACTAAAAAGAAAAATACTGAACTTCCATGGATAACAAGAGAAATACTGCATTTAAAGCGTCGACTATCAAGACTAAGACATGCAAGTCGTAATGGCAATGCCCTGCGTAGAGCTGAATTCAATACAGTGAAGGAGGAACTTCGTACGAAAATAAATGCTGCTAAAGACTCTTTTCTCGTTTACCTTGCCAAATATGGTTAAGAATAACCCCTGAAAATTTTGGAACTCAATCTCGCCAAAGGAATGCTCTACTAGTACATTCGTCCTTAGTGAAACTCCTACTAGCCAGCCACAGGTCATTGCCAATGCATTTAACGAATACTTTACATCTGTCTTTGCTCAGGATAATCACGAAATTTCTTCTTACACTCCACTTCATGCCTCGCTTGTTTCTATTGATAATGTCTCTGTGTCTACAGAAGGTGTTTTAAATTTGATTTTAAATGTTGATTCAAAAAAGTCGTCTAGCCCAGACAATGTTAGTAATATCATCGCTATTCTCTATGGACAAGCCAATACCTGTCAGTAATTTTCAACAAATCATTATCAACATCAACTGTTCCATCATCATGGAAAATTGCACAAGTCCTTCTACTCCAGAAATCAGGTAGTAGGCAATCTGTATTAAATTACAGGCCTATATCATTAACCTCTCACTCATGCAAACTACTGGAACATATTGTCTTGAAACACATCATCAATTTTCTCGAAACTAACAATATTCTGTCCAATGCACAACATGGTTTCCGGTGTGGATTTAGTACCATAACTCAGCTAACAGAATTCACTCCTGACATATCTATAGCTCTTGACTTAGGTCTTCAGGTGGACGCATTATTCATAGACTTTTCTAAAGCCTTCTATACTGTCATCCATTCAAAACTTCTATATAAACTCAATCTCTTACTAAAGAACCAATTGCTTGTTCAGTGGATTAGAAGTTTCCTTTCAAGTCGTAGCCAATACGTATCATTTAAGACCTTCCATTAATCTAAAGCACGTGTATCTTCCGGAGTGCCCCAGGGATCCGTGCTATGTCCATTACTTTTTCTGTTATATATAAATGACCTACCCGACACAGTTTCCACTAAAATTCGTCTTTACGCTGACGACTGCGTTTTATATCACGTAATAAATTCACCTGATGATCATCATACACTCCATACATCGCTCTTAAACTTTTGCAGGTGGTGCCGAAATTGGCAGATGAGCATTAACTTTCAAAAGACAGCTGCTATGTGTTTCAGTAGGCAGAAAACCCCATCTGTGTTTGATTGTTCTTTTAATAACTATGTAGTGCAGCGGGTCTCACAATATAAGTACCTTGGTCTCCTTTTCACTACTAACTTATCTTGGTCTAGTCACATCGATACAACATGCAACAAGGCTCTGAAGAAACTTGGATACCTTAACCGCTCACTACG